AAATGTCAAAAAACAGTACCCCAAATTCCCCGCAGGGGACATTTTAAAAGCCTTTACCGCTCATCACTTTAGAGTTATCAGTAAGTGATGACCCTAAAAGTATTACTCCCAAACTTTTATTCAACCTCAAATACTATGTAACTATGTAACTATGTAACGTTCGTGGAAGTATACAACATGTGTAGCACAATCGCTGTTTTTGCATGTACAGTAGATACATTAGTTACTAAATGCTACAAAAGCTCATGATCCAAATAAATCTTGGAATTGATTCTTAGCAACATTATTCAATATGAGGTTCAAAAACTGAAATTGATTCCAGAACTGCTATTTGAAAAACATTAGTAGGCTCTTGTACAAAAATTGGTGTAAGAAGCACAAACATTGCCTCCTGAACACTGTAAAAAAAATTAAGATTCAAAGAGTCAAATTTTACCATATTCCTTCTATCTGGATAGGCTGTGTGTTTGAGAAAAACCAAAGGCTGTCCTAAAACCATAATGTCTGTTCCAAACTGTTAAACCCTGGGTTATAATGACATGTACACGCATTGCATTGGGATCATTGGATCCACTTTTGCTCTGAATGATTGTATAACAAAAAAAGCATATTAGCTCTTTTTACTTGCAGAATGTGGAACACTGTTCCTCAATGATGTTCCATTTCAGAATAATAATGTTTCCACCATTAAACAAATTCAGAAATTTTGTTTTGGGAAGACAAACGCCTTCCAAAACCCCTAATCACCAGATCAAAACATCACTAACAGGGCTATTCACTAAAGGGTGAAGAGTTTGGACAAGGCAGGAGAAGTGAACAATCTAGGCCAAAATAGCTAATTTGGGAAAATTCTCCAATTCAGCTCACTTTCCAGTTCAGCTGTGTTGTCCTAGATTGTTCACTTCTCCTGCCTTCTCCAAACTCTTCACCTTTTTGTGAGTAACCCTGTAAATCTTTGTGAGAAGATCTAAAGTAGAAAGTTTAAAACAGATCTCATATTCTCTTTCAGAATCATGCAAACAATCAGAAAATCAATATGTGTTGAAAATACCTTTCAAAAACATACCATTTATAAAAACAGATTACCAGATAAATCCAGGAATCAAAGAATCCTGAATATGATTTTGCCAGTTTGTATCAGATTGTTTGAGATTTATGAATTTAGGAATCCCTGGCAGGTCTTGAAAATAACCATACTCTTATTCAGAAGATTCTGAAAGTGTCTGATTTGCAGACCAATTGGATCTTCTGTATTTTAGTTTTACATATGTCAAGGGAGTGTACTTCTGTAAACACACTTCATTGTTTTAGTTTTTTCGTTATGTAAATGGATAACATGGAAACAGGATGTGTGTATGATGTCAGCACTCCCTGGTGAGCTGTGTCCAGCAATCAGGTATATTTAAACTGATCTTTTAATAGAGTTGATAAAGTTTCAGAAAAATTTGATAGCATTAGCAGCCGTTAGCATGATAGCATCAGGTTCTAACTTGCCGTGCTAGGTCAACATGTACCATGGCCATTATAGGAGGAAGGTTCAGGGAAAGTTCAATTCTATTGTTTTACCATGGTTACAAAACATAAAATAAGAGAAATCCTGTATTTGTAACATATTGCTGCCTCTGGGCTCTGGAGGTTGTATGTTCTCTTTTTTCTTCCTTAAATTGAATGCAGTAATACAAACCTTGTGATTATCTTTAGTGTAAACAAAGGAATATCCTCTGATCACTTCTAAAGTAAAACACAGATGTTTTTGGTTGACTGTTGATGTCATTAAGCTAAATGTTTATCTTTTATGTATTTGATCCTGTAAGCTTTCAGGGATCCAATTTGTCACTAAGTCAGTTGAAAAATTCAATTTATTCATGCAGTAATTACTTTAAAGAAAGTTTGAATGGAATATGAATTTCTTTTCTTGGAAAAGAAACACAGCTCCTCATGAAATGTATTTGTGTTTAACTTTTGATCTTTCACGGTTTTAAAAAGTGCTAATGGATTCATATACTAGAAAGAATAGCCACAAAATAGGAGCAAGGTGCAATTTATTGATGTCTGTGTGATAACACTTTCCTGATCATTGATGTTGCTCAAACCAGAGTTCCAGCCTGGGAAAAACATTTAAAGATATATCTCACTGATGGAGGCTTACATCTTTGCATCTGTTTAAGATTTGAAGTGCTTTAGCTTATTCTTTTCCACCCCACAAATGTTTCTTTGCATTTTCTGGGCATATGTGCAAGATCATAAGTTGGGCCTCCTTTGTGCCCTCGACAAGGGAGAACCATGCCACATTGCAGCCACCTACACATGTACAATATGGACAAAAGCATATGTATCACCTGTAACAGCAGATATATACAGCAGTGTATATGAAGGCAATACTACAGGGGCAAATAAACATCTGCACATGAATTATGACTCCTAAATATTGAGACGTTAAGCCCCAATCAGATTAGCATTTTGGCCCTGGTTCTGCTGGTTGTGCTGACAACCATCTGTGTGCAGGCTCATTCAGAGAAGCTGATTGTATGTATGCACTTGATCATTTATTTAACACCCCCCATACAAAATGTATGTTTAGTAATAGAGTGCTACACACACCATGCACCATGCAGTGTAATGGTGGGTGTGAACAGATTGTACTAACATTGGGAGGGTCTTTACAGAGGCACAGTTAAATAAAACCAACAGACATGTAAAACACTCAGCACAATATTTAAAAAAAATGAAACTCTTCTATAACATATGCTTTTCAGCCTACCTTAAAGAAGAACTTCATGAAATAGTCAGTAACCACTTAGCAATCAGCAACTATTGAGCCAATAAACAATTTGGTCATTAGTATTGGTGGTCAGTGGTTGGCTGTAAAAACAACCCCCATCATTGGTAGTAAGTGGCTGGCTGCAAAACTAAGCCCCTCATTATTGGTGGGCAGTGGATGGCTGTAAAAGTAACCTCCCCCAAAATTAGAGGTCAGTGGCTGGTAGCAAAAATACCCCCACAGCATTGTTGGTCAGTAATAGGCTGTAAAAATACCCCTCAGCAGTGTTGATAAGTGGCTGGCTGTAACAACCCCCAGCATTAGTTGTCAGTAGCTAGCTGGAACAATAACCCCCCCACCCTTTCAAAGCATTGTTGGTTACTGTCTGGCTGGAAGGTGTCACTTATATTCCCTGGTGGTCTAGTGGAGCACCTTGTAAAGAAAAGAAAATCCACTTACCGTCACATGCAGCTCTCTCATCACTTAGTGACAGCGAGCAAGAGCAAGCTGTCAGTATAGTAACACCGCCTCAGAGCACTTAGAGGGAAACTGCAGTATGGAGCTGTGTGGCATCCAATAGGATGCCACACAACACAGAGCAGTCTGCACCTGCCTCCCTCTGCCATTGTCTGATTGGATGCTGGATAGAGGCTTCTTTTAGTGCCAAGTGCTGGAGTGCAGAAAGCATCCCAGTAACTGGCACACCAATGCCCCTCTGTGTATTGCACTACACATACAGTAAATGTTTAGGAAGAACTCCTACTGTACATCAATCTCAACTTTTAAATCTGCTCTATGATGTTAAATTGATCTTGTGGGGGAGGTCTATAATCCTACAGCACTTAAGTGTAAGGCTATAGATAACTTGCATGCTACTTTGGCCTTTTCCTAGGGCCAAAGGGCAAAGCATATAAGTTTGTATGCTTCTTTTTTTTCTTTGAATCCCTCTAAAGATAAAAGGTTGTTTCTCAGCTTAGGGGTGTTCAGTACAAGAAAATTAAACATTTGAATTACTAGATTTTGGTTTGGGGTGTGCACGCTCACAGCATCAAGTCGAAATGCAGCCCTGATTCCAAGCTGCAAATTTCGGAAAATAAAACCATTTGTCCTAAATATGTGTGTCTAATTTTGATAAGTGTATGTAATCTTTATTCTGGTTGAAGCTTTATTTCTTACTCATGACCTAAAGTGTTTGCAGATCTTTATAAATATTCTTTCTGCAACTGTCTAAGGAATTCACCTTTATTGTATTATTGTGCGTTTTAGTGATATATGATATTTGTGGCATTGTATACTGCCTCAATTTATACTGGAAAGCCAGTTGACTCATTTATGCTTTTTTTCACAGCTGGAAAACATACAATGCATTCCTAAATTGTAACTTTTTATGCCCCCCTTTGATCATGTGAAATATTGAAATCAATTAGTTTATGACAACGGATGGCTATGGTAGTATACAATTTATTTTCCTTTTCATGTTGAGGTCTTTGAATATACTATACAATACACTATGGGGGAAAAATCATGTCATAATGTTCTCATTCTCCAGGGGGAAAGGGTTAAACCATAACTTGACTAATCTTTAAACGCCAAAAAATAAAGAAATTGTAAGACCTTTTCACACGTTAGATATGTATTGTCATTTATCATCTAGATATCAGGCTAGCAGTGTGAAGTAATAAAACATATCATCGAAAAATGTGCTATAGGTCTGAATCACTCTTTCATTCCACCTCCTAGCTAACTGTAGTATTAAATCAAACAAGCAGAACATTTCCTAAGGCAGCCATTGCCTTTTAATTTCCTGAAGAACCTTAAAATATCATTCATTACAAGTACTACACATATTTGGTTTTTAAAAGTCTCATAAATCAATAGCAGGCTGACTGTAATAATTATTACAAGTTAGTGCATAATTTTCATGCTGAAGGCTGCATGCAGAACTTTAGCATATGCAAACGAGGCAATTCAAACTGTGTATAGATATTAATATGAAGAAGCAGGTAACGAGGTACAGGCTATGAATTATGCATCAGGAGCGGCTGATCTTCAATGAGGAAAATGAATTCAGCATGTAATCTAATTAGTGATGGAAGTCTATTACATCTAACTGCAAAAGCAACCGTCCTTGAAACAAATTTATTTACAGTCCATGTTACCACTTGAAACAACTTCCAAATGATGTTTTAGGCAGTCATTTTATTTTATTTTTTTCTTACTCATGTTTCTTTGCTTTCAGCTCCAGACCAGGAAGGCCTCCTAAAAGGACACAGAGCGTTACCTCACCTGAAAATCCCCACATAATGCCACATAGTGTGCCTGGCTTAATGTCTCCTGGAATGATTCCACCCACAGGTACAGTACTATTTGTTATTAACACCAACATCACAGTAAATAATGGTCTACCAATTCTTCAACCACGTTGTATAGCTGTGGGGTTACATCACATTTGTAACTGATGGGATATGCAGATCTTAAAACACTTGCAGGTTCTTGCAAGTCAGGTTAGTTTCCTTTGTATCTGGATACACCCAGATCCTGGGCATGTATGTTTCTGCCCAACTTCCTTGGTTGAGAGCCTGATCCTGCCCTTTCTGTCTCCTCAGCCTTTATGTTGTCCCATCACTGTAATGAGCAGTTTTATGACTCAGGACTTTGACCCAGGAAACTATACTGCATGTTAGCTCAACCCAGGAATTGGGTTTTGGGAACATTAAAGAGTAAACTAACCTGGAAAAAAGGTAACTGCCGGTGTCTGCTATGTGCGTATCATCAGCAGTTCATAAAATCATTCAATCAGGTTTGCTTTAACTAAGAAAAAGGGCATAAGAGCAAAAATAACTAAAAAGACCCATCATAGTTTTTGCCACTGATGGACAGGGTTTTAATTTATCTTTTCCTCTAGATCACGTCCTGTTCCATGACGCATGGACCACAGGTTACGAATATATTAACTGTATCAGGCACCCCTCTTCAAGTTCAGGTAACCAAAACATCTGAGCTTGAGAAAGGACATGGTTTTCCCAAAACGTGTGCTTATTGTAATCTGTGACTTATGTAATGAAACAATTCACATGTGTGCCTCAACTTCTTGGACTTTTTCTATATACTCATAGGTTATATGAGGGTCCCTCCCAGTTATGTGTGTTGTACTCTGTTGTGTCATTAATGCTGCCTATACTTTAGCGTGTGTTCATACATATATAAAGACTTACACACACATAAAATTAAAACATATGTTTAAAACATATTATTATTCAGTCTGCCTTTTATATTGTTACATATATAGAGGTATATACTGTATGTATATTTTTGACAAGTATAATTAATGTAAGCAGGCATTTAGAGTAATGTAGAGAGTGCCCCCCCTCCAATTCTCATATGTCTAGATATAAAGTAAGTGGAAAGGATACAATTAGATGTGTAATGACCTCTGCATGTATATGTGAATATAATGCAGTGGTTTTCAATGTCCCACAAATGATCCAGAATTTCATCTAGTGTGACAAATGATAGGATCCTTCAGATTCGGTCAATTAGGCCACAGAATGGCTGGCACTCTTCCCTTGCAGCTGTGGGTTTAGGGACTGAATACCAACTGTGACAGTGCATGGAGTTTGCATGTGCTGGGTGGGCTTTCCACCACAATTATTTAATATACTGAAAGCTCCATCTAGTATAATTGTGGTAGGGACATTACACTGTATCTGTAAAAAAATAAATCACGGCAACTGGACTTGCTGTATTTTTCTTGAAGACATTTCACTGGTAATCCGACTAGCTTTCTCAATTCAGAATGACAAAAATAAATATGGTGAATGTTGCTCCAATCAACATAATATGTTAAACATAACCAGCATGGGGTCATAGATCTCATGGAGGTAAGGTGTTGATTTCATTTGCATAATTGGAGCTAGCAGGTGTTATTAACCCACCCAGAGAGAGGTATGAAAATAACATTGTATGTGGCAGACAATACATGTCTTACCCCCTCCCCTATTTAACAGATTATTTTGATTGGAGCATCATTCACCATATTTATTTCCAATGAATTTTTGTACAAGCCATTCTGAATTGTGAAAGCTGGTCGGATGACCAGCGAAGTGTCTTCAAGAAAAATACAGCAAGTCAAGTTGCCTTGATATATTTTTTACAGATATACCATGACCTGGATGAATGAGAACCTTCACAGAGACATTACACTGTGAACCCCTTGGGGCAAAGCAAGCAGATCTGAAAGTCCAATGTATTCTGTAAAGAACTTAGTAATATTATGGTACTATATACTGTACATACTGGCATTATATACAGTAAACATTCAGATCACCCAAGTTTGTGTATGTGTATATTCATAAACTATTTTCTTAAATTGGTCCATATAAAGACACCAGCATGCATAATGTTTACAGCCTTGCTTTTGATTAGATGACCATGGTCATTTAGTGGTCCCTAAAGTGAATGTAAGCCCTAGCAATGAACCTTTACCTTATGATCTATTGTATGTACCATTGAATGCATGTTGTCATAGTTGTTTAAAAGGTGCAAAACATACCTGTTGATTCTACCAGAAATCAAGTAAATACATAACTACTTGTGCTCTCTGTACTGTTATCTCAAGCAGTGTTATCAGTTATCCTAGCCAGTTTTAAGTATGCTGCAGTATGCTACATTATTATTCTTGGATTTAGATTCACTTGTTTTAGCTTTTATTTCATTCTGTGAATGCATTTCTTTCTTTTAATTTGCTGCAATGAGAAGGGCATACGTCATTTTAAATGTCCCATTTGTGCCTTGCGCATCCTACGTAGACTTATTGATATCTCAAGCATAGGATTCCTTACATTTAATTAACAATACAGAAAGCTTAGAATAGCTTATTCTCCTATTACTTCTGTGTGGATCATATTACATAGCCATTGTTTTTTTTTTTCCTACTTGATGAGAAAGACATTTGCAATTGTTTACTGCAGATGCGGAAAATAACTTCATTGTGGTCAAACTGCTTTTTGTTTAACAGAATTATATTGGAGCTAATGACAAGTCCATCTTTCACTGCACGACTTAGATAAGTACAGGCATTCAGTTCAAGAATACATTCTAAAAATATTTCATGCAGTATGTAAAGACACATTTCAGAACCACGTACGAGCTTCCTTCCCTGTTACTAATAAAAAGAAAACATAGTTGTGCTTCTGAAACATAACATATTAATAAAGAAGCACACATGGTTCATTGTTCATTCACAAGCAAAACAAAATGGAAACTGGATTTTAAAGGAGTTTTGGCTTTTACAGTCTTACCAACCATGAGAATTAAGGTAAATTTAAAGAACTTTGTTTGCTATCTTAAAGGGGTTGTGTTAGTCTGCCAACCACTTTAGGATGTTTGAATAATTAAAAACCAAAATGTAGCACTTGCCAAAATTTGCACTCTTCCAACAATACAAAAACACAGCCAGATGATGTTAGCCAATGCTTTCTGAGAAATGCAGGCACATCACCGTCCCACCCTTGCAGATGTGGTTGCAATATTCATCTCCTCTCTGACACTGTAATTCCCTTCCACCTTTAGAAGCTCTCATTCTTCTGGATTGAATATTGCCCAGCCCAGGAATTTGAGAACATCTTGTGAGTGCAGACATCATGCATCACCATGGCACCTTGCACTTACAGTTTAATTATGTAGAGAGTGTTGCTCATGATCATCATGTAAGCATTGTTCTCTGCATCACTGAGTACCGCCCAGCTCTAAAGAATAGGAAGAAGATCCTGCATGTCACATAAACAGCCTTAAGACATATGGAAAAGCTAGATATAAAATTAAACATAAAATACTAGGGATGTTCAGATACCAGTTCAGATACCAGTGCTGATACTTGGCATTTTCATGAGTACTACCAGGGTTGCAGCGGTTGCAGCTGGGACCTAGCTCTGGCGCTCCACCACTGTACCAAAATCAATAGTCTGTATTGTTTTAGAAAAACTGTCACATGACACTAAACAAAAATGTATCAATACTTGTATCTGTAAGCACTTGGACAAGTGTAAAAATGACAGCTACCTCCTAACTTTTGAATTTTTCTCTAGTATATTTTTGGAGCTAGAAAAGTATCTGTACTTGTACTTGTACCGAGTATGGTACTTCGTAACTGAACATCCCTATAAAATACAGTTGGGGGACCTCCATGGGTGGCGGGGGTTAAGCACTCAGCAGTTGGAGTATTCATGTACACATTGTCAAACCTTATTCAAAAATTACGGCAGTATAAAACTTCACTAACCAGAATGTTATTGTATTTGCCCAAATTGTATTTGGAATCATCCTATATCTGTTCACACCTTCATATACTGAACACTGTTTTCACCAAAAAGAAGTAGTAAAAGCCCTTTTCTTAAGTAAAAAACATGATATGCATAAACAATTCCTCTTAATAAGAATATGTTATATGTGGGTGCTATACTATCATCGATGTGAAGCCCCTGTACTTAGTATCCTAGGCTGGTATCAAGGTGAGGAGGGGTGCAAACTTTCTTAAAAATGTAATTACAAAACATAAAAAAGAAAGGTAAATCCAAATCTGGTTGGATTGCCAGAAATGGCTTGGCAAACTGCCAGTGTAGTGATGGTCATTATAGGCTCATCTTGATATACTCCACTCACCTATGATGGATGCTTACTTAAGACAATTGATAAATGAAGCTGACAATAATCAGCACTAAATCCTAAAGAAGAAGGAATATGTTAGCTATGCTCTGTTAAAACTGTATTCAACCAGCAGCTAGAAATCTGAAAGCTTTGCATTTGCTCATGTACTGTAAGTCTTAAGCCAATACTTACAAGCAGCAACTTACACTGAACAAAATAAGCAGAAGAAAACGTAAAAAAAAAAAGCCCACAAGTGGCTAGTAACATAACTAATTATTTAGCTTTAACAAATCACAATGAGCAAAGTGCCAGCAAGACCATTAAATTATTATTTGCGGTGTGCCCCTATTGTTTAAACTGTGTGTAAAAAGAGTTATTTTATACACATTGGTTAACATTTCCAGTTATATATCTTAATTAATCCAGATAAATATGTTTCATGAATTTCTACATTATAAAGTTAAACATGACTTTCCATACATATTGGCTCTTAGATGTTTACGTTTAAAAAATGTGGTCAAATAAGGAAATGCTTTTTTGTAAATTTATGATTTTTCTTTTTTCTTCAGTAAAACATCAGCATAGTACATTAGATTAAACAGTTGAGGAATGGATATCTTAATGCCTATATACAAGCTAACATGGATTACAAAAGTGCAAATTTTGCCCTTGGCAAATCATAGCTTAAGAGCTTTGGAAAATGAAATCAA